AGGAGGCATCGGCGGATCTGTAGACGATATTAACTGCTCCTGATCCCTTTGTATGAAGCGTTTTAACCGCTGCACATGCACAATCTCTGGAGGATCGGCTTGCTGAACGTCATGCCGAACCTCATAAACTTGCGGTCCAACTTGCCGCAACACCCGATACGGTCCTTTCCACTGCACAAGGAGCCCCTTAGATAAACCACGTACCGTAAGATGGGGAAAACGGACTAACACCAAATCATCCACTTTGTACTCCGCAGGTGGACGATGATGGGAGTTGTAGCGCCGTTGTTGTCCCACTTGTACGCGGCCTAAGTGTTCGGCAGACTCTGCTCGGACAAGTGGAAGAATGCTTGTCAAATACTGATCCCATGACCTAGCATCAGGAGCTCGTGGCAATCGCGAAGGTAAACCCAACTCTGTTGGTAAAATTGGATCATGACCATATAGAAGTTTATATGGTGAAGCACCAACAGAACTCTGCACCCCTGTGACATAGGCATACCGAAGAGACGGCAAATAACCATCCCAATCCGAATGCTGAAAGTTCACATACTTCGCAATCATCCCTTTAAATGTCCGAACGAGCCGTTCCACCAGACTGTCTGATTGTGGATGATAAGCACTCGTAAAAGTGTGGCGTATCCCCAACCGAGATGTCAAAACATGAAATACCTCAGCCATAAATGCAGGACCATTATCCGAAAGAATCCGCTCTGGACAAGAATGCTGGAACACCACTCGATTGAGGAGGAAGTATCCAACAGCAGTTGCAGAGGCGCTAGCAAGAGCACCAACTTCCACCCAACGAGTCAAGTAGTCAGAAGCAATAATAACATACTCATTGCCAGCAGTCGATCGTGGAAAAGGTCCCATAAGATCAAACGCCACCAACTCAAACGGACGGGAAACTGCAATTGACTCCAACCGTCCTTCCGCAGCACAAGGGGGAGTATTACGAGCTTGGCACCAAACGCAGCTACGCACATACCGGATAATATCACGTCGCATCTCCGGCCAATAGAAAGACCTGCGCAGCTTCTCGGTGACACGACGGTGTCCCATATGCCCACCTAGAACAGGAGAATCATGGTAGGCATGGAGAAACCGCGGAATAAACACCGAAGGCACCACCAGCCGTAAATGATCATCAGGATCCGTCCCCACAAAATAAAGAAGGCCATCTTCAAGGCGATATTGAGAATGTAAATGCCAGAAAGGCAAGTCATTAGCAAGTGATGTAAGATTCTCAAACCCATCTCGAAGCCTTTGAATCCACGGCTCAATCTTTTGAGCCTCGCGAACCTCATCAAGAGAAGGTAGATCTTGCTCTGCGCCCTGTGGACACTGAACGTCAAGGACAGCAACCGCCGACGGCACAGAATCCTCATCTAGAAAATCCACAGACGCTGGAACAACAGGTTCGTCAGAAACATGAGAAGTGAGTGGAGAAGGAAGAGGAGCTCGAGAAAGGGCATCAGCATCAGCCATAGAACTCCCTGGGCGATGAACAACATCGAAATCATATATCTGAAGCTTTAAAGCCCATCGAGCCGTACGACCAACCAGGTTCTTCCGCTTCAATAATGAAGTAACAGCAGCATGGTCACTTTCAAGTAACGTCCGAGAACCATGTAGATATGCATGAAGTTTCTCGAAACCCCAGACTGCTGCTAAACACTCCTTCTCCGTCGTGGAGTAGTTCATCTCCGCTGGTTGTAATGTACGGCTTATGTATGCAATGGGATGGCGCTGACCAGGCACACTCGAGCTCTCTTGCATCAACACACCTCCAAGACCAATGTCAGAAGCATCCACGTGCAAAATAAAAGGTCGAGTGTAGTCAGGATATGCCAAAACCGGAGGAGTCGTCAATAGCTCTTTGAGATCCACGAACGCCCGCTCACAATCCGGAGACCAGATGAAAGATGACGTTGATGACTTCAGCAACGCTCGCAATGGTGTAGTGCGATCGGAAAGATGATCCACAAAACGACCGAGATACTGCACCTTACCCAACAAGCGTTGCACATCATTCACACATTTCGGAGTAGGGAACTTTAGAACAGCCACAAGTTTGTCAGGATCAACTTGCAAACCCTCACGAGAAATACGGTACCCAAAACACGCACTTTGACCGCTTCAGCTTTAAACCAACATCCCGTAGCCGATCCAACACTTTACAAACATCACGAACGTGCTCCTCCCACGTCCCCTCCGAATGGATCAAGACATCATCAATGAAGTAAGCAGTCACTTCCGGCATATCGCAAAGAACCTCGTCCATCATCCGCTGGAAAGTTGCGGGAGCATTGTTCAAACCAAACGGCATCACCAAGAACTCGTACAAACCAAATGGTGTACGAAAAGCAGTCTTAGGAATATCTTCTTCGGCCATCGGTACTTGCCAATACCCAGAAGCAAGATCTAGCTTGGTGAACCAACGACTTCGCCCCAAACGATCTAAGAGATCAGCAGTGTGAGGAAGAGGATACACATCTGGGATCGTCACTTCGTTTAACGGGCGATAGTCGATGCAGAAACGAATACTCCCATCAGGCTTCGTCACAAGATGAGGCTTCGTCACAAGATGAGGTTCATATGCCCAAGGACTCCGCGACTTCCGAATAACACCCTTCTCTAGCATTTCCTTGACGTTGGCTCGTAAAATCTTGATCTCCTTAGGTGACCGACGACAAACAGGAACCTTGATTGGACGAGCATCCCCGGTTGGAATCGGATGACGTGTGGCAATCTTGGCCCCAGACGATAGGTCAAATTCAAAGAGATCAGAATACTCTTTCATGAGCCGGTCAACTGCTGCAACACAAAGATCGTCGGAGGGATCGGAAAAGGGAAAAGCAGAACAAGATGGAAACACAGAAGGAAAGAGTGGGGGAACAAAAGTAATGGAAGCAGAGGTAGAAGTAGAGGGACGAAGAGGTATGGAAGTGAGAGGAATGGATGAAACATAAGGAAGTATGAGACAAGGGGGAGAAGCCTCAAAGTCACACTTGGCATGATTGCCCTGCAACCAATCCATACCAAGAATGAGGTCAAAAGCTTGACTCGGCACCACCCGCAACGACTGCAACTCAAGCTCGAGATCGCCCACACGCACAACTAGGTCCACCTCATCCCGTGCACATGCATGTGTACGGCCGTTGCCATAAAGAATGAAAACTGGTTCCGCCGCACGACGCAAGTGTAGACGACAACGTGTGGTAACAGGTCGAGCAATAGAAGATAAACTCGAACCTGTATCAACCAACACGGAGAGAATAATAGGAGACCTTTTGTTATAAAAACGAGCTTGGAAAGTAAACACGGGATGAACCGGTGCCGAGTGAACCCCTTGATGATACTCTCGAAAGAAAGATGGAGGGGTCACTGATTTATTCCCGCAAGGTCCCTCCATTACTCGCGCGACTCCTCGTTTCTCGGATGCATCTCGGTGTCCAGACCTTCCACTGCAGCAGCACCCACGGGACGTTGCTGACGCCAAGGTCTCCACCCAGGAAATGGAGGTCGCCAATCCGGAAAACGACGGCAACGCCGATAAGTATGACCAACTTCATCATACGCCCAGCAGCGAACATCACGGCCACGACCACGTCCTCGCGCTTGTCCTTGGACTCGAGCAGCAGCAGCATCAACCTCCATTGGAACAGGACCATCACCCATAGGAAGTGGAGCGGAAGGACGTGCAGCGAGAAGTGGAAGAGGCGACGTCTCATAACGTTGTGCCAAGCGAAGAGCATCGTCAAGGGTGGCAGGAGCAAGTGCATGCACAAGTCCGACAAGATCTTGACGAAGTGCTGGCCACAACATTCCTAGCTTGATCCGCTCCGACATATTTGGCTCCGCACGAAGCAAAAGACTTCGGAAACGAACGCCAAATTGCATCACTGACTCAGATGGCCCTTGGCGAAGACGATGCAATTGTTGGAAAGCATCATCACAATCATCGGCATGTCCGAAGGCGCGTTTGAAGACGTCCGGGAGAACACTCCAATCCCCACGAGTGGCTGCGCTCAAACCATTATACCACTGCAACGCCGTCCCTTGGAGACACGTGGGAAACTCACGCAAACGTCGAGCATCATCCCAAGAATGATATGTGGCAATCACCGTGAAGTGATCGAACCAATGGTACACATCATCCCCAGGATTCCCGCGAAAGAACTCCGGCCGAACGCGAGGATTAGCACCAAGAGCAGGAGGAGTTGTACCACGTGCCGTGAACGCCGCCATCAACTGAGTTTGGTTGTTCAATTGCAAGCGCATAGCATCAAGCAATTGTACCAACTGCTGCTCTAGAGTCAAAGGAGGAGATTGCGGATCTACCATGAAGATGAACGAAAAAGAAAGAGCAAAAGAAGAGAGATGACAAAAAGCTAGAAGGAAATGGTAGATCTAGACAACGCAAAAAGCTAGATCTAAACCAAAAAAAAGAACAAAAGAAAGGAAATGGAAAAAGCTAGATCTAGACGATGCAAAAGCTAGATCTAAATCAAAATCCCAAATCCAAGCACTCCTTAGGGACAATCAAAGGTGCCCCTCATCTCCACCAATGTGAGTGCCTGGAATATGGAAAAGGGAATACAGAAATGTGCATATCAATTAGCCCAAAAACCCTAGTTTATATACAGGAGCGAGTGGTCCGGATTGAAACCAATCCGACGGCTACTAAAATCCACTACGCTAATATTAGTATACGGCATCGTAGCCGTACACTTGGCCCTCACATCTTGTGTTTATAAATTACAAACATGTTTATAATTATAAACTTTATTTGATCAGTTAGATTAATAAGTTAAAATAACACTACTATTAAGCAAGCTAAACATTATTACATGCAATGCATAACAAAAAAAATTTATTGTATATAGAACATCAAATGGACTAAAGATCTTTAAACTTCTAACGCCACCTAGAAACCCTAAAAAAGAGTTGACAAGAATAAATGACCTAAATTACAAATTTTGGGGAAAGTGGATAACATTATTTTTTTTCTTTCTCTTGTGTGTTGTTCTTCGCGTTGTCGTCTTGTCGCGGCGCCGCCCCCACGGTCTTGAAGAAATCTTCGAGCATCCAACCCAGCGCGCGGCGCTTGGCGGTGTGTCGATCGCGTCCCTCTTGGCGATCGTCGGTGGGAGCGGAGGGGCGTAAAGGAGGTGAGCTGGGCTGGTGATTTTAGGTCGCAAGGAATGGCGGCGGTTTCTCTTTGTTCCAGAGAAGGATGAATCGGAACAAGGAGGATGTGAGGCACGAGAGGATCATTCGCGGATTGTCCAAGCTCGATGACAACAGGAAATGCTTGAATTGCGGTAGCGTGGTACAGTCTTCTTGCTTGTTTCTTTCTGGATCGTTCTTTGTTGAGAAGGCTCTTTTGGTGTGATTTTTCCAGGGACCACAATATGTTTGCACAACTTTCTCGACTTTTGTGTGCATGGCTTGTGGTGGAGTCCAGTACGCTACCACTTTTTCCTTTGCTTGCTCTAATCCTTGCTTATTTCCTTTGTAGCCGAGAATTCAGCCATCGGGTAAAATCCATTTCGCTCTCCAAATTCACTCCCGAGGAAGTAGCAGCTCTCCAAGCGGGTGGAAACCAGGTTAAATCCCGAAACACCAGTGTTGCGATTGATTCTATCGTGTAAATGTTTCCTCTTATGTTCTTCCAGCGAGCTTTGGAGATGTATTATAAGCACTGGGACTCCAGGCATCATCCTGTTCCAGATAGCAGGTAGAAGAAAAAAGAGCTCTGTGGTAGGCTGATTACTCTTTCAGACTCTTGTAATTGAAAGTAACACTTCTGACCCGATCGTTTTCCAATTGTTTTTGAAGAAATCCCGAGAAACTTAGAGACTTCGTCAAAGCCATCTATGTAGACCAACTGTATTCAGCTGACAAGCCTCCACCACCTAGAGTCAGTGTCTCAAACTTATTATAATGTGCTCACGTTGTTTACTTTTCTTTTCTTTTTTTTCCGTATTTTTTCAGGGAGATGAACAAGATGGCAAACGAAGCAGCCTCCGATCGAGCTTTCTGAGCAGCCACTCTTTCGAAGAGCGTCGTCCGGGCTTGCAGCGAGAAGCTCACCAGAGAACAAGATCAGATGATCGGCCAGTTTCTTCCAGGGACTACGACGGTGGCTACTCTCCTGAAGTTCGCTCAATGCGGGAGATTCTTGGTGACGATTTGCCTGTTCTACGTATAGAACCACAGAGACCTTCCACTGCTGTAAGTGCTACTCACTCAAGTTAATTCCTGTGACTTCCTTTTTGTTCCTTTTTCCGCACAGAACGATTCACCAGGTGCACCAACAAGCAGCTCCCAACAAAACACATACCCAGAAAATCCATATCCAGAGAATCCAGAAATGGTACAGCAGCAGCCATATATCAAAGCAAGCACTACCGGCTGGGCTACGTTCGATACTTCCCCGGAGCAGCCAGCAAACTCGGCGTCATGGCAAGAAATGTGGCATCCAAACCACGAAACAACTATGTGGTCGAATACCGCGCAGGGTTTGGTTTTTCCTCAGGTAACTATCAACTTGTTCTACCATCTTCAACATAGTTCTACTGGCAGATAAGTTTTCCCCCATCACAATTTGCACCAGAAACCGTCGCTGCAGCGGTAAGATCTCAATCACCACTCAACTCAACTCTAGCTTCTCACTTTCGTTTCCTCCTCTGGATTTAGCCTCGTCGAAAATCAACGAACCCGTTTGATCTACCCGAGGACACCAGTCTCCCGGTGAGAAAGCTCTGTTCTCCTTTTCCAAGCCGTAACTCTGATAAAACTTCATCCAGGATTTTACTCCCAGCCACGAGTTCCAATTCCAGAACCCGATGATAGACAGCGAGAGTTCCTCGTCGGCTCAGTCGTGGCAAACGCTGCCAGACACTTCACGCGAAGAATTGACACACGCTACACGGCCTGGAAATCCATTCGCTTAATCCATAATCCACAAGATTTTCGTAAAAAGCGCATATTCCCGTTTCCGGCGGGCATATTCTCACACAAAGGGAAGGAATATACCACCACGGTGGCATCGTACGGACAGGCTGGTAAAGCACAGGTGTCCTTCAAAGAAATAGTCACCTTTCCCTTAGGGTTGAAAGTACGCTCTTTTCCTTCTGGGCGTTCGTTCTTTCGCCATGGCAATCTTGGATCTATGGTCGCCGGTGCTGCTCTACTCGGTGGTGCTCTTCGCCGCGATTTATGGGATCTCCTACCAGACGCTCTTCCGCAAATGGAGGGGGATCAAGCGCTACGAGGCGGCGAGCTGCGCGGTGTCGATCATCCACGGCACCACCATCACGGCGCTGGCGGGATACAACGCCTGGCAATCGCCCTGGGATCTGGCAGCCCCCAATTCCGCGACCCAGAACAAGATCCTCGAGTATAGCACCGCGTACTTCCTCGTCGACCTCGCCCACTACCTCCTCGTCGCCCCGGGCGACTACCTCTTCATCCTCCACCACATTGCCACCTCCAGCTACATGATCTCTTGCAGGTACTTCGTCGGCCATGGAGCTCTGTCCGCCATGGCGATGGTGGCCGTGGGCGAGGCCACCAGCCCCTTCCAAAATATCTGGACGATCTGCCGTATGGGTCGCGATATCTCCCCGGCCATGAAGACGGTCTACGAGAGGCTCTCGCCGTTCTTCACTGTCATCTTCACGGTGTTTCGCGTCGGGCTGGGACCTGTGCTGGTGTTCCGGATCAGCAAGTTCTACTTGTCCGGGGCTGCCGATGGAGTGATTCCCAGGCTCCTGGTGCGGTGCTGGATGGCGAAGTCGGCGCTGGCGCTCGTCGGGAGCTTGGTCTGGGTGTACAAGCTGTGGGCCGGATTGATCAAGTTCTATGCGTCCAAGAAACCCGGGACGAAGATCCGGAGAGCGGCGAAGTCTTTCGAGGTGGAGCGGAAGAAGCAGCTTCTCAACGACGAGGCCGTCAAGGAGAATTGATGGAGAGATCTAGACGACGATCTGACTTTGTGTACCATTTTTTCTTGTGATGTACTTTCCCTGTTAATCAATTTGTAAGTCTGGAGTCTGGAAGAGAGGAAAAATCAAATCTTTGTGGGACGATGGCCCGAAAAAATGGCGGAGCTAGCCTGTTTTGATCGAGTGCCTTCGTACAAACAGCGATTGTGTGTCTTTCCAATCCGATCGATCACTCTTTGTCTTTGAGGTAGTCTTGCCTGAAGTGACACACGAGAACTTTTCAATGATGCTACAGAAGAAAACGGGAAGAAACCTGATTTTTCGAGAGAGCTGATAGATTCCTGTTCCAGCCATGAAGATGTTGACACTGAACAGGTTCCAATTGATCTGGGAACACGAAAAGAAAGAAGTTTTCTTTCGTCCAGAGAGGGAAAAGGGACCATACCGGATTGATCACAGTGCTATATCTCGACCAGATTATCCCCGTGCAAGTGACGGCTAGAGCATGAGAAAGGTCATTGAGTCAAGCACAGTAGAGGAAAGAAACACGAGACTCTCACCGCATTGCTGAGGATACGAGATCTTTTCCGGCGGCTTGGAGAAATCCGCAATGTTGGCGAAGGAAATCCCCCACTTGAACGTCGGCGCCCAGAAATGGACTGAGATTTCATCGCGCGAAGAGAGAAAAGAGGGCAGGAGTAAGAATTTCGCAAGCTGGATCCGCAGAGACAAGGAAATGGATGGATCGATCGCTACTTACTTGTCTTGGGACCAGCAGGATGATTCCACAGAGCTGCCACGCGCGACGACATTGGCGCTCCGCTCCTCTAGGGTTAGAACACCCTTACCAATTAGAGCCATCGAATATTCTACGTGTTAATTTTAAACACCCGTGCTTTGACTTTTTAGAAGTCAAATCGTGGTCTAGCATTGACTTCGTTGACTAGCGTTTTCCAGGGCGCTGGACAGCAAAATGTAAGACGCGGCGGAGCTTTTCTGGTCGAGACGAAACAGCCACTCGGCCGATCGCGTCGCCAGATCGATGTTTCCGTGATTCTTGGAAGCGCCCAGCAGCGTCTTCCACCCCAGCACCTCGCCGGGATTCACGATCTTGCTGGTCACCACTTCCTCCGCCTCGCCCAGCCGCCCCGACCTCGCCAGGAGATCCGCCAGGCACGCGAAGTGATCGTCCGTGAGCGCTAGACTGTGATCGCCCGCGATCGCCGAGGCGAGGATCTGCCAGCCCTGATCGACGAGCCCGGCGTGGCTGCACGACGAGAGCACGACCATCAGAGTGATGGCGTCGGGGATCAGCCCCTCGAGTAGCATCGCGTGGAAGGTCCAGATCGCGAGCTTGCCATTGCCGCTCCGGGCGTGGGCCGCGATCATCGCGTTCCAGGTGACCACGTCTCGGTGATCGCTCTCCGCCATGGCGTGGAAGATCCTCGCGGCGCGCTCCAGGCTGCCCGATTTGGCGTAGAGGCTGATGAGCGCGTTGGCGATGATGCGATCGACATGGAGGCCGGCATCCACGACGAGGGCTTGGATGAGATCCACGAAAGAGGCATCGATCGCCGGGATGCTCGAGCAAGCGCCCAAGATCGCAATGAATGTCGCGCGCTCGGGCGTGAATCCTTCCAGGTCCATGGTCCGGAAGAGCTGGATCGCGGCGGTGCCACGATCGTTGTGAGCGTAGCCAGTGATCATCGTGTTCCACGAGATCACATTCCAAGCGGGCATTTTTCTGAAGAGATCGGTGGCACGATCCGGAATTCCATTCAAGAAATAGGCGCACACGATTGAATTCCAAGAGCTAGCATCGCGGTGCTCCATTTCCTCGAAGATCAATCGCGATTCCGCGATGTGCCAGTTCTGGGCATTTGCAGTAAGAAGTGTGTTCCAAGACGCGATGGATTTGAAGCTCACATTCTCTGCGAGAATCGATCTTCCTCGTACCGGATCTCCGCTAGAAACGAATGCCACACTGATGATCGTCCAGGAGGCCAAATCCCTCCCGGGCATCTCCTCCAGGATCGCGATGGCTCGCCCTATTTCCCCAGCCGCGGCATTCGCTTGGATCGCCGAGTTCCACGATGCGATGCTCCATTGCGGCGATCTCTGGAAGAGCAGCATCGCATCGTCCCTGCGCCCATCACTCGCGAATGCGGCAATCATCGTGCTCCAGCTCGAAGCGCTCGCGATCGGCGCTACGTCAAAGAAGTTCTTGGCCTCGTCCAGACGAGAGCTCTCCACAAACGCCTCGAGAACAGCGTCGTATGTCATAGCGTCATGACGTGGCATCCTCTGGAGCAGCCATGTGGCAGCATCCAGCCGCCTGTTGACAGAATATCCTACGATTAAGGTTGTCCACGTGGCGGATGTTTTGCCTGGAATGTGCTGGAATATCTCGACCGCCCCGTCCAGGATGCCATTTTGCGCATATACCGCGAGCATCGTGTTCCAAGAGATGGTGTTCTTCCAGGGCATGAGGGCAAATATTTCTATGGCGTCTTGGACGTAGCCGCTCAATCCAGAGGCGGCGACGACGCAAGTGAAGGTGATGGCGTCGCGCTGAGGCATCAGATCGAATGCGCGCTTGGCATCGGCAAGAGAATCGTTATCGGCGAATGCCGCGACGATCGCGTTCCAGGTAACAACGTTCTTGCGGCGGATCGCGGTGAAACACGCCATAGCTTCTTGCAGCTGGCCGAGATCCGAGCGCAATGTCAGGAGCGTCGTCCAGGAGAAGGCATCCAGCTCTGGCGATTGATCGAAGAATCTCTCGGCCTCGTCGGGATTCCCGTGCCTCGTGTTTGCGGCGATCATCAGGTTCCATGATATTACGCTCCTCTGCGGCATTCTATCGAAGATACTGATCGACTGTGACAGATGCCCGCTCTTGGTATGCGCTTCGAGGATCGCGTTCCACGACACGAGATTGCGCTCCTCCATCTCGGCGAAGATCCTAAATCCCGACTCTGGGTCGAAGCCATCGCCAAAGCTAGTGATCATCGCATTCCATGAGACAACGTCGTGCTGGGGCATACGATCAAACAGGACCATCGCCTCGGCGCTATGCCCGTTTTGGGCATAGGCTGAGACAGTGGCATTCCAGGAGATCACATCCTTCCGGGGCATCGCATCGAAGATCTCCTTGGCTCTCTCCGGATCGCCACTTCGAGCAAACACGCCGAGCATGATGTTCCACGAGAAGGAGTTCCTCCGATCGCCCAGCGCCACGAAAGCTCTCGCGGCATCCTCGACGCTCCCGCAGTTGCCATACATTTGAATCGCGAGATTGGCGAGATAGACGTCGCCAGCGAACCGGGCGTTGGATTGGATCGCCGCGTGGAGTTTCTTCCCGGCCTCGAGAGCTCGATCGGTGCCACAGCTCCTCAATCCAGCTGCGATTCCAGCCTGGGTAGCGTCGATTTCTCCACACCCAGCGAAGAAGCTTCTACAAATCGAGGAGAGAAAAGAATTCGTGCTCAATCGACATGCTGTCATGTAGGTAGTCAGAGATCCGGTACACCATCGCTCAATTATTTTTCAAACCTTACAGAATAAAGTTCTTCGTCAAACCTTACACCTAGAAATCACTGGCGAGCGAGGAAACGAAAAACTTGCCCATTAACTCATTGCACGATCCTTCGTGAGTGAATGAAGCATTTCTTTTACCGAGATAGTTTAGCATGTGGTAGCGTTTGTTTTTACCGAGAACCAGGTAAACTCCAAACCGGGAACGACTCCCTGGCTGACGACACCACGGTGGCGAGAAAGCCCCGTGGCCAATCTTGGCCGTTGGGCGGCGACGAACCAACGGCAGAGCGGCGTGCCAGCTGGACAGTTTGCATGGAGGGCCACGATCTTGCGACGGGGCATCCGACGATGGAGCTCGTTCTTTTCCTTCTAACTTGGGCTATGGGAAGCATAGCAGAGCCCCCTTGTTTGTCGTTTGGGTGTGGGTTTGTTTGTGCATGTAGAGCGAATCGCTAGGGTATCAGGCGTGGTGTTCTTGCGCTGGAGCTAGCTGCCGGCTTGGCTCCGGGCGCCCTGGCAGTGATCAGTGGCACGGCGGGCAACTATTCAAAATCTTGTTCGCTCGTCACGGCGCGATCCGGTTTGGCAGCGAATTCGTTGGAATCGCAAGGGCGTTTTCTTGGATTTCGATGATCCGGCCGGCAACGGCGGCATTTCATCTTGATCCTGATCCCGGGCGGCGGTTTCTGTGAGAAATATTGCGGGGGAGGCGCTGAAATCATCGCGAAGGGCAGGAGCGAGCGAGCGAGCGAGCGATCGAGCTAGCGGAGTGGCTTTAGGAAATATTGGATGAGAATGCAGGTGGATTTTGATCCGGACTACGGCCACACCATGGCTCAGGTCGTCTACTATCTCTCTCGAAATGGCAAAGTGGATTCGCCTCACATGATCGATGTCGCGTTTCACGCTCCGGGGCTTCGATTGCGAGGTAGGAAATCCCTCATTCTTGCGAATGTGTTCTAAGCCGACTATGCAACAGATGTGAAGTTTAGATTGACGGCGTTGCGCGGATGCAGGATGCCAGTGATGTATGCGTGGTCTTTCAAGAGGTAGGCTGCGGCGATGTTCTTTCTTTCGTTCTTGGTCTTCGCTTGCTAATCATGGCGCCGTGAATCTCTTCTAGAATTTACAAAAATACGAGTATCTGGCAAGATGTCTCTGATGACGATTTTGTACTGCCTGTGGCTTCTGGAGAATACGTCCTCAAGGGATCGGAAATCGTCGAAAAGCAAGGTAAGATCTTGTACTAGGCCCAGTTGTGTGATTTTTTTTTGATGTTTCATCGCAGTACCAAAATGTAAGCAGCCGGGCGAAGTACTTCAGAGGAAGTATAGGGGAGCGGAGTCTTGGCTTACAGCTATAGACAGCACCTCGGCAAAGACGTCGAAACCAGAGCCCAATTCCTTCTTGCCGCTGGCGGTGAGAAGATCTTACGAGCAGCCGGCTTGCAAGCAAAAGACGGTGGTTTTGGACAATGGTTTTCCGGAGGACAAACTTAGCGATGGGATTGTGGATTCTGGGGTGAGGTATTCAACGGGAAGCATTCTCCAGGAATCCACCTTTAATGAGTTGAAAGTCTACAGCATAAAGACGCCGGCGGTAATCGATCAGGGGTGCGATGCGACTACTCAAACTGAAGAACAGCGAAGAAAAATGGGCCAGGCTTCTACCGCTACTGCAACAAGCTTTGACTCGAGAATGCCAGGACAGGATACTAAAGTTCCGAGGCAGCAGAAATTGGCACCGGACGAGGTGGTTCTTGGTGTCGATGCTTCTTCGTCGCCCCCAGGAGCTAAGAAACATGGGAAGTCCAAAAGGTTTGTCCCGCATGACAAGGAACCAGAGCATCTCAGGCTGAAGACGAAGAATGGCTCATCGTCTTGGGTGTTTCTACACGTCTTGTCGTATTGCGGGGGTCTTAATACGAAAGATCAGGCAGTGAATCCACCTCTGGCGGCCTCCAAGGACGTTTCATCGGAGTACTCTCCCGATGAGCACAGCAGGGACTTGCGAGCAGATGGAGACAATCCTTTCCTCAGTGATACCTCCAGAGAGACGCAGCAGTCCACTACGGGCGATAGCTTCAATTCCTCAGATGCGTCTGAGGAAGGCCGAGTTCATAAGGTGCCGGCTCTTGTAGATGTGAAGGAGATCCTGAAGCCAACATCTCCATCGCGGGTCAGAGGCTTTTCCTTGCTCGGCAGGTAAAGCATATCAATGTTTGTCTCTATTGGAAGCTAAGCTCATTTGTTTTTCAGGCAGTATGGGAGACTGTCGAAATCCGGGACCTATTGCTCGAGGAACGTCAAATACGACCTGAGCCGGGGAAATGGGCCGCTCAAGTTGGAGCTCAGTTGCTACAGCGCAGAGTGACGAGATTTTCTGTCCAGCATTAAGGTACTCCTGATTGTTAGCCTTGCTTGCTACCTTTAGGTAGATGAGAGGAGCCTTCCCGTCCTCTTTGCAGTTACTAACAGGAACAGTAGAGTTCCTTCAGCAACTGAGCAGAGGACTCTCCTCTCTCCTGTTGTTTCCCAAAGTTGAATCATCATATCCAGCTTCAGGTTGACGTGAAAAAGTCTTGAGTTGGGCTACGTAGTACGACCAGTGTGAATGCTTGGTTGTCACTCCCGCCGCGTACGAGTAGGACGCCTGCCGAGGCATTGTTTAGCGTTGTTTTTCTCCTGCGGATCAAGAGGAGATGCTCTCTAGTAAGTCGGTGTTGTCATGTTGCTAAGAACTGTGTGTTGTCTCTCTCGTTGCCTTGCGGTCCTCGTCTTCCGTTCGCTCGTCCGTGCCTCTTGCCCGCCGTCCTGACGAGTTCCGAGAAATTAATTATGCAAACAGAACACTGGTGCTTGGTTGTGAGTTCCTGCTCTTTGCTTCTCTTTTCTTTTTCTAATTTCTCTCCTTCTCACTGTGGGACGTGACTTATGTCTTGTTTGCATGAACGCACGCGCCGGGTCTCGTGAGAGCTGGCGAGCGGGACAGATAAGCAGCAGCCAGCGCTCAGCTCCCTCCAAAGTGCGTTTCATATTACTGCTCGACAAGACGCATAAGTTTAGGTGGCACTCTCGCTTGTCGAGCCATGATACAAAGACAAAGAGGTAATGGTTTGGCTTTTGTACGTAGGACGGAGACCTTGTTTTTGTTTTTGCATGTATAAAGTCCGCTCCCTGTGTCAGGAATATGTAGAGAGGAGAGCAATTACGGCTGGACGGACGGCTTGGCTCCTGAACAAATTCAAAGTTGCGATCGAAAGGTGCGAGCTTTGTGACAAAGTTTATAGCGCTCAACTGATCAGTGTCAAGTGAAATCCTATTCAGATCAGATCCTTGCAGCCGGGCATCAGCTACTGGCCGTTACAGAGGCGTGCTAGATACGTTATCCTCGTCATTTATTTCCTGCCTCGTTTGTTTAATCCTCCTGGCAGCTGCTGCTACGAACCAAGCGCTCCCCCGGCTACCGCTAGATATGCTACTGAGCGGTAGCCTGCCTCCTGGCCACTGTTGGTGGTCGGAGCCGATGATCCTTCTTTATTTCGGTCTGTAGTGTGTGGTCCACAACACCAGTGACCACCATACATACGGCTCGGTGTCTCTCTCATTCTAAGGTATGTATTTAATCGGCAGATATATATATTTCTCTTTCGGCGTGGGCCTTATGTGCTGCAAAGGCTTTCTATAGGTGGGTCAAGCGTACTGCAAAGGCTTCCGAAGGTCTTCTGGAGTGGAGGTCAGTCTTCTTCCTTTTTGCTGTTTGCCTGCATTTGAGATGGTTGGTTCATCAGACGATTGTATGCTGCTGCCCGTTACATCCAGCTCAGTTTCTTCTTCTTCTTTTGTCTTGTAGTTTTTTTTTTCTTCGCTTCTTTTTGTTTCGTCCTTTCGAATTTTGGTGTTTTCTTCTTTCTGGTCTTCGGATGATGGAAATGTTGGACTTTTTGAAGGTTGTTTTTTCAAGGGGGTCAAGAGTCTTTCCTGGCTGCTGGCTGGCTGGTGAGTGAGAGGTGAGAATAACTTAAGAATTTTTCGATTAAGAAACTGGCAAGCGCTTGTCTGCTTGCGCGAAGCTAATTCCGCGCTGCGTTTTGCTGCAGGAAAAGAACTCATGGTGTCCGGAATCTTAAATTTGCTCGCTCCTGTGCGCCGCGCGGTGGTGTCGAGTGTCGTCAACAGCGGGTAACAAAACATTATAGTTCTTTTCCTTTCGCTATCCTAAAGCTGCTGTGAAAGGTCTGTGTGTGAAGGAAGGCTTTTCTTCGCTCGCTCTCTTGTCTCTTGGAGCGAGCAAAACTTTTCCCGCGAGAAGAGAGGTATGGATTGTTTTACGATTCTTTTCACTGGCGAGATTGTGAGATCGCCGACACTCTGGATTAAAATTCTTGCCAGTGTCGTCCAATCGGTGCCATACAACCAGGCTTGAACAAAGAATGTCCTTTGGATTTTCTTTTGGAGAGAATGTCCTTGTTTACAAAGTTTGGTGTCATCGTCTCCGCGGCGACATTGGGATTTGGGCCAAAACGCGGCCGCGAAAGTCAATCGGGCATGTCAGACAGGAATCTACAAATTACTGTGCAAATCTTTCAAGTTTTATCACGTTTTTTTACTCTCCCCGAGATCAGCGCGAATGTTCCGTACATCTTCTTAAATCTGTAGAAGATGCCCTGGCATCTTTTTGAAAATGTAGGGCTAGGGCATCTCTGTTTTGCTATTTCCTAGGGTTTGTGGATTTTGTTTGGGCGGAGATCGAACCCAGGGCACCTTCGGAGCTCTCAAGCCCTAGATCAGTGAGCGCGAGCTGCCCAGGCGCGAGGACTCCCGCCGCGATGTTGTCGATGGATGTGAACGATTACAAGAGTAAGTCTAGCTGCAGCATTTTCTTTCGTCTAGCTCCAGTTCTCAGCTCTGGGAATTTTTAGAGATTGGAATTGGCCTCACTGGATTCGGGGTGCTCTTCACGTTTCTGGGATTGATCTTCTTCTTCGACAAGGCCCTTCTGGCCATGGGAAACGTGAGCGCAAATCGCAGGAAGAATTGAAGAGTTTTTAATCTTTTGCTTGTTCCTTTGTTGCAGATCTTGTTCTTGTCCGGCGTTACTCTCACGATTGGTCCCAAGTCGACGCTCTTCTTCTTCGCCAAGCGACGCAACTTCAAGGTATGAGAATTCTTCTCCCGCGGCATTTTTCTTCCTTTGTTTTTGCAAGTTTGATCACCGAGCTGCTGCTGCAGGGCACGATATCTTTCCTGGTGGGATTTGTCCTCGTCATCCTCGGATGGCCCGTGGTTGGAATGATCATCGAAGCGTATGGTTTTATCATCCTCTTCAGGTCGGCAAAGTTCTCGAGCCTCGTTTCTCTTCTCACGTAAGAAACTTGTGTTCATGCGCAGTGGCTTCCTCCCGACGGTGGTGGTCTTCTTGTATAGAGTTCCAGTTCTTGGCTGGTTCTTCCAACACCCCTTCTTCGTCTCGGTAAGCTTTATCCGGCTTTCTCCCTCCCGATTTGTGGGAAGTTAACTCTCTCCTCGTTTCAGATTTTCGATCGCTTCCGCTCAAGAAGGGTGCCGGTATAGAAAAGTCGGGTACTTTTGTCATCGATCGAGATTTTGCCTCGTGATATCCCGACATTCTGTATATAAAGTGGCTGATGACGATGGAGCTAAATTGGCTGTACTCTTTGACAAGAAATCCGAATTTGCTGGCTCAAACCATCCTGTTTAGAATCGGAGAACATCAATCTAGAGAATAACAATAAAACAGGATCTTACTTACCTTGGCAGCTACTTTCCAGTTGTTTCGTTTGCATCCTCGAGATCTTTTCTATCTTCCTTGCAGCGCCAGATACCGTGTGCTTTCGGCGAAGCTAGAAACCTCGTTGTCCCGAGCCATCGCCTGCGTCAATTAATGTGGCTTGTGACAACGCAGACACAAATAAGAAAAGCTTTAGCTCAGGAAATCTTAGCTTCCTGAAAACCAAGCAAAGAATCTGCACGCTCGGCAACTTTGACAACGAGGTGTCCAAGGCTCTCTCGATCATCAGCGCCTTGGTTGACTTGTCTTTGTTCTCGTTCTCGATCTCGTCTATGAAAGTTTGCGTCGGGCTTTATACCTGCGTATAAGTGGGATTTCGAAGAGAGTCGGTCCAAGACGCGTAAACTCGTCCCAAAGTGAGTCTGGAGTATCACTTGCGGTGGAAGTTTCAAACGTCTCGGAGTTCGCATCGGCGAGAAGTCTTAGAGGAAAGAAGTTCCGCATAGATCTTCCCCGATGTATAGACAGCGAGTGCTCAGGAACGGCTTGCGTTTTCCAGGAAGGAGGGGTCTTTGTCTCGGATCTATGGATAGATTTCTTCATCCTCAGCTTTAACTCCCGCTTATCCGACAAAGCATTATGAAGACGAATCCAAGTTATCTGACGACTTTTCTGACGCCCAAGTACCGATCACAGCTTCCAGGACATCAAGCACAAGGATTGCCTGCTCCAAGTGAAAGGATCATCAATAAAAGACGAGAAGACTTACTTCAAGACATCACTCATCACAAGGGAAGTTTCAGCTACAAAATCTCCACAAAAGAGAGAAGCTTTGCACAAGACCCTTCTTTCTCCTACCTTCTTTTGGTATTATAATATGTGGCCACATTTCTATGAGCTTGGTGAGGTTATAAGAGTGAATGCATGATGAAGGCGCTTTATGTAGGAAACCACGGCGTCTGTCAAGTCTAGACTGAGAAGAATACTGCTATACTAGAATGATGAGCAGCGGTCGTATTACGCATGGACATACTCTGGCAGGACCACATTAGAGCGAACGATCACACATAAACAACAGATCCTTGACGCGTCTTCACGAAAGTCTTTTAAGTCCGATGCTCTTCATAGCTGCTTGGCTTCCAACGCGTCGGGGCTCTCCTCGCCCGATTTCGCCATGTAGACGATGTAAACATCGCTCTTTTGCTGCAAAATCATGCCATGGATCGATCAGAGCTGCGAGAGGAAAACCCAAGAACAAGAACAAACTCACGGCATTGCCATTGACCTTCCACACCTGCGTGCTTTCCTTTAGCTCCAGTGACGACAGGTTCTCCTATCGTAACTTTGCACTGTTCTTGTCATCAAAGTTGGATGCCTCCCTCGAAAATGGAAGCTTCGAACTGAATTTGGGACGTGGAAGAAATGTTGTGGTTCAAAATATCAGCTTAGACAGTGATAAGGTAAGGATTTTGTGGCTTTTGTGGATAATGTTTTGACTTATGCTCTACTTTTCAAGGTTGCTGCCGTAAATCAGTTCTACGAAAAAGTTTTTGCTACTTTATGGTTGCAAGTTATTCCTATCCGAATTGAAATCTTGCCTGAAAAGGGGTGTTGCTATATATAGCACTCCCATTGTTTTGTTATCTGCTTCAGCATATTAGCAACCTTCTCTTTAGAAAAATGGAAGGAAAAAATTGTATAAATCAGCACAAAAGTGGAAAGAAAGAAAGTTACTACTACGCTTTAGTCACATCCGGTTGCAAGCATTTGTTTCCTGCGATTAAAACACAACAACAAAAAGAAAAACAGCCAATGAAGAAAGTTTCACAACAATGCGTCAAAGCAAACACAACACACGCACAAAGAAAATTTGAGAAGCAATAAAAACAAACAAACAAACAAAAAAAAAAAAAAACCAAACCTACATTGCTTGATGTTTCGATCACCAAACCAGCAATGGAATGCATCAAATCGCATCCTGCCAACCCAGAAAAACCTTCCCTAGCCATTCACTTCTATGAGAACAAACCCTAGCAACCCCGCCAAAATATTTGAAACGTGTTAGGCTGGCGGTGGCGGCGGCGGCGGCGGCGGCGCTTCCATTGGCGGGAGCTCGGGAGGAATCTCTGTGGCGATAATGTTTGGAGGCTTTGGGATGGAATCGCTGGCCGCCACGAACGCGTAGTCTTCGTGCCAAACTTTCTGTGTGTCTCGATCTTTGCCCACCCGGATCATCGTCTCGGCTTCGTCGTGCGTGAAACTCACACCGTGATCGGTCATCGCATCCTGATCACAAGAGTGATGGATACGTACGAGATGGATCGCGCATCCAAATCACTTACGTAGAGATCAGTAGGCTCGATGTAGTCCTGGCTCGGCGGAGATAGAGCCTTGAGAACAAAAGAAAGAGAGAATTCCATCAGAGAAATCCAGCAGTCGAGAATCTTTGCTTACTCGAAGGCATGCGATGAGCTCGTTCTCGGTGTGGCGATACGACAACGATGGATCCGTGGCGAAAACTTCCGCGATCTTCTTCTGGAGATTGTTGATGTCTAGGTGCCCTCTCGTGCAATGCTTTGGATCTTCGTCCTCTCTTGCCTGTTTCCTCGGGAAGATCGGTCAAGAGCGAGGGAGAGAAGAAAGATCGATCCCGTTCATTGGTCCTTTCTTTCTTACCCGGAGAACCACACGCTGGATGTGCTGGTCGGTTGGATTATATCCCAGCGCGCGCACCAACACTGGGACATCCCTGGAAGCAATTGTGGGCCAAAGATCGCCGAGATTCCCCCCGAGACTCACCTCTCATCTACCTCGTTGGGCTTCTTCCTGCCGCCCTTCTTGGCCACGAGATTGAACGCCTTGTGGAGCATCTCCAGCATATCGGCGCCAAGATCGTAGACATACGTCGGCTGTGGCGGCTCGGGCTCCGGCTCAGGCGCCTTCTTCCTCGATCTCGGCGCGTCCTCCGCCATCAAGAACCCTAAAATGCGGGAAAACAAAAACTAGGGCCTGCATGGCATAGTCAAAGAGAACACGTGGCAGAGATCTAGTCAACGATTAAAGCCCGAGTTGACTTTTTGGGGTATTATTTGCTCAGGTAGCTAGAGAACGGCTGTTCTTCCCGACGGCCGCGAAACGACACGGCATTGATCGCGTGGTAGGGCGGAGAAATCTTCACTAGGTAGGGCGCTCGCGAGCGAGCGCCGTGCTGATTAGAAGGTGAGGGATCGATCGATCGATCGATCGATAGGTTGGATTCAGGGTTGTAGCTTCAATCCGGCTCCAAAATTATGAAGGGGAGATCGAGAGGCCGGGTGTGCGGCCACCAGGTATCGGCGCCTCTGGTTCTAGTCTTGTGCGTGCTCGCTTTTCTCGTTGGATACTTCATCCCCGAATTCCAGCAGGTAATCCTTGTAACGAAGCACTCAATTCCATCTTTTTCTTGTACTCCTTTAGCTTCCAGAGGATACAAATCCAGCATTTGCGAATCAAAGACATGAGTTACTCGAGGATGTCACGGTCGCGGAGCACGGTGTGACTGGCGACGATCAATTGTCATTCATACCTTTCCAGGTGAGAGAGTGAGATTATAGATTCTCTTGGACTTCTTTTTGCTTATGCTTAAGTCAGGTACTAAGCTGGACACCTCGAGCTCTTCTCTTCCCGAAATTCGCAAGCCCGGCACAGTGCGAGGCGATCATCAGTCTAGCAAAGACGAAGCTTACGCCATCTTCACTTGCTCTTCGCAAGGGAGAGACGGCCACGGAGACGCAGGACGTAAGAACAAGGTTCTTATCTTCTCTTCCTTCTTTTCTTTTTGCCGGCGCGGTTTCGAGCTTTTGAGACGAGTTTTTCCTGTCATGTAAGGCAGTCATGGCTGCTTCTTGAGCTCCAGGCAAGACAAGACGGGCACACTGGCCTGGGTGGAGGAAAAAATGGCTAAAGCCACGATGATCCCCAAGTCACACGGAGAGGTAAACAGACAAACGATGAAAAGACGAGTTTTAGTTCAAAGCAAACCTTTGCAGGCTTTCAATGTTCTTCGCTACGAGATCGGACAGAAATACAACAGCCACTATGACGTTTTCAATCCTGCGGAATACGGACCTCAGAAGAGCCAACGCGTAAGTCGTCGTCTCAGCTTGGAGTTTCAAGCTGATACGTTTCTCTTATGCAGATGGCTTCCTTTCTTTTGTATCTTTCAGACGTTGAAGAAGGCGGAGAGACGATGTTTCCTTTCGAGGTACCGCTGCTTTCACGTCTTCAAGCTGTTGAATCCATGACTCCTGTTTCCATGTCTAGAATTACGAGCACATGAACGAGAACTACGACTACAAAGAATGCATCGGTTTGAAGGTGAAGCCAAAGCAAGGCGACGCTTTGCTCTTCTATTCCATGTTCCCGAATGGAACGTTTGACAAGGTCAGTCGATCGAAAACGAAGAAATCGCCACTGACATATTGTCGCCGTTGTTAGACTGCATTGCACGGGAGCTGTCCAGTGATTAAAGGCGAGAAATGGGTCGCCACAAAGTGGATCAGGGACAAAGAAGATTGGTCTTGATCAAATTCTTTTTATTCTTGAGGTTGAGAGAAATGGTTTCATCCAGTTTTGCATACAAAGTCACACATTAGTGATGTAGATTAGGCTAAGTATAATTAGATAAACACCCATTAACTAATCATATAGCTAAATAGGTTTTGAACGAAAGAACGTTGGATCAACTGTTCCAACCGTTAGATCTCTGCGCTCGTACGGCCTCCAAGATCCACGCCGGCCGTCGGATCGTGGGCCTTTTGGGCCACATGGTTCATGCCCAGACTCCCTTGCGGCGCACGCCCAGTGAGGCAAAGGATGAAAGCTGGAGGCTTCCGTACTCTTACCTCACGCTCTCTTTGTGGAGGATCTTAGGGCATTCCCTTCTTCGCGAGGCGGCGCGCACGGATGATTTCGCGCTTGGATCGCTAGGCGCTCGTGTCGACCCCTTGCCGATCGCTCAGGTTTGTGTGAAATCTTGATCGTTTCTACGAATGCCGGGCCTGCATTGTCACAGGAGGCCGTGGGGCGTGGCGGATTTCGATATTTCGGCTTCGCGAGCTGGATGATCTGAGAACCTGGGAAGAAATCCATGGCGCGGGGATGTTTCGAGTCTGTGGCCGAGAGCTGCTTGGCCAAGTCGTGTATCGGCCCGAGCCGGATGAATGCCCGCTACATCTACGCCATAATCTTCTTGCTCACCACTGTGGTGGCCTGGATGATCCGGGACTACAGCCATGACGCATTGGCTTCTTTGCATTGTAAGTGTGTGTCCTCCGAGCTGACGATTGAACTAATACTTGTGATTTTCTTTCTAGATTTGAAAGGATGCCAAGGAGGACACGATTGTTTGGGCAGTGAGGGTGTTCTACGAGTGAGCCTGGGATGCTTCGTATCCTTTGAAAATTTTCTATCCTCGCTTTTATTCTGTTCCTTAACTTAGCATCAGGTGTTCTTCTTCACAATGTATTTGACGACTGTGGGAACTTCTAAACCCGACGACCCCCGTGACGCTTGGCACTCAGGCTGGTGGCCAATTAAGAGCCTCTTCTGGATCATCGTGATGGTGCTCCCATTTTTCATCCCATCCGCATTCATTCAAATGTATGGTAAGTGAATTTAATGTTCTTCTTCTAGAAGCGATGGATCAATTTTGCTTTGCAGGTGAAATGGCCAGGTTTGGAGCTGGGTAAGTGCATTGGAAAGCTTTTTCTTTTTCTTTTCACGCTGAAAACTGCTCGTTTCACAGAATTTTTCTCGTTATCCAGCTCCTCAGTGTCATCAATTTCATATACTGGTGGAACGAAGAGTGGCTCTCCGAGCATAACGTCCGACGCTGGTAATTTTCAAGCTGTGTACTGTTTTGGGACTTACACGATCTTTCTTTGCAGCCAAATACCGCTGGTCGTGATTGCTGTGGGCTCGTATATACTTTCATTCATAGGCATCATCTTGATGTATGTCTGGTTCTCTCCACGGGCGTCCTGCGGCGTCAATATCTTTTTCATCACATGGACTTTCGTTCTCATTTTAGTCGTGACGGCCATCTCCCTGCATTCGAAAGTACTGTGAAATTCTTTCAATGGCTTGTTTTTCTGATAAGTATATTTCCAGGTCAATGCGGGATTGCTGACATCAGGGTTGATTTCACTGTATCTAGTGTTTCTCTGCTGGTCAGCAATTATGAGGTATCATTTTTTTATTTTTTTCCTTTTTTTCTTATTTCTCTTTTTGTTTTTTCGTAGTGAACCTGCTTCTGAGCTTTGCAATACGCGATCACGACAAACTGGGAAGGCTGACTGGCTAACTGTTTTGGTACGTCCAGATATCTTCAGTTTTTCTCCTCTGATTATGTCTATTTCTTTTACAGAGCTTTCTGATAGCGTTCTTTGCAATCATCCTAGCTACATTCTCTACCGGAATAGATTCGAAATCTCTTGCGGTATCCACTTTTTTAACCTCTCGAGTTATTTTCACATTTTTTAAAATGTTTTCGTTTCTACAGCTACCACACAGTGAAGAGGAGACATCCGAGAATGATATCCCATACAGCTATGGTTTCTTTCATTTCGTCTTTGCGATGGGTGCGATGTACTTTGCGATGCTGTTCGTTGGCTGGAACCTTCACCAAACAATGCACAGGTAAGTAAGCTCTGCTCCTTCCTCTATAAGCTTCGTGTCCTTTGTGTGTGAATTCAAGGTGGAGCATAGACGTCGGGTGGGCAAGCGTTTGGGTGAAAGTCATAAACGAATGGCTCGCTGCGGCAGTATATAGTGAGCAACTACATTCTCTTATCAAATCGATTTTTACTGATCACCATCTTATTGCAGTTTGGACAATGGTATGTGTCTTTGTTCTGAAGGGCAGGGACTTCTCGTAAATTCCTTGTAAGTACCGTAATCATACATGCACAGGCTAGCACTTTTTAGCTTTCTTCTGGTTTTCACCACTCCCGCTTCGATAGTCACAGGAGCTTTACATGATGTACTTGAGTGTGGCGAGAAACTTGTGCTCGTCCTTGTTCTCTGCTGCATCACTTGAGGTAGACTCTCTTGTACACAAACTTGGGAGCTCCTTCACCGACGTAGAGATCGTTGGCTCAAATACGCCACCAAATCAAAGTTTCTCTTTTCCCCAAACTCCTCCAGTAGTTCCGCGGTGGTTCTATGTATTTCTTTACGAAATCTTTCGTTATGTTTCAAACTAATTATTATTTATCTTTAATTGCAAATACAAAGGATGGAGAGAATCCATCGAAAAGAGTAATTATTCTCCTCGCGTTGATCTAGCATGATCGTTTTTTATCCAAGTTGATATTTATGTTGATGTTGTTGTTATTGTTGTTCCCCGTCCTCTTTGGCCTGCGTGGAGGAGCTAGATGATTATGATCATCCATCTTTGGAGGAGGAGGAGGAGCTAGCTGATCATCATCATCATCATCCATCTTTGGAGGAGGAGGAGGAGCTAGCTGATCATGACCATCATCCATCTTTGGCGGAGGAGGAGCCCTATGATCATGGTCATGATCTTCCATCTTTGAAGGGGGAGGAGGTGCATGACCATCATCCATCTTTGGAGTTGGGGCTTCATCATCATCCATTTTGGAGGGAGGCAGAAGAGAATCAGAGGCCAGCTCCGCTGCTGTTGAAGAATCAGACAAGATCTCCCTTCTTGAAGAAGACAATGCAATCTGGAATGTGGCAAATACAAACACCAAAAACACCAAAGAAGAATTCATGGTGAAACTGTGCTGATTGCTCATTAATCAGTGCAGCCTTTGGCCCCTTTATATAAGGTCCAAGAATGTGCATGGCATCTGATTGTCACTCCCATATTGATTCGATTTTCTCATCAAATGCCATGTGTCTATTTTACAATTATTTATCTACAAATCAATGGCTGATTCTCTACAGTTTTCTAGAGAGAGATGCTTCCAGGTGAAAACAAGCTTGGCTTCTCGTTTTTAGTGGTGAATGATGATATATACCGGTGTCAAGACATTAACAGGTATGTCGATGTAAGCTAGTTCTCTATGTTCTTATACGTTTGGATTTGTACAGCTCACGGCTGGGATGTCAAGAGCGTGTATTGGCATCCACAAAAGTTTCTCCTCGTTTCTGGTAAGCCTTATAACTAATCTCATGATATCTTCGTGCGAAGGACGTGTGTAGTGTGTGAAATAGGAAGAGACCAAGTAATCAAGCTAAGTGAACAAAGTGAACTGAACGCCTCTTCCTTGTTTTTTTCCCCCTCTTTCTCAGCTGTTTGACATCCGAACCTAATCGAGGCTAATCGTTAAGAACGAAGTAACATGTATATTGGATGAGTTAGAGTGCTCTTACGTTTTGATTTTGGTGCAGCATTGGCGTGGCATCCTTTCCACGAGGAACTCTTCGTGAGCAGAAGCCATGACAGCAGCATTATACACTGGCTCGTTGGGTATGTTACCACCTGAGGAGACTCAATTCTGATTTCACATGGACGTTATTGTTTTAGGCACGAACAACCTCAACCAGAAGTCTCAAATGCTCACGACAGCAACATTCTGGATTTGCCATGGGGTTCCCATGGGCCACTTTGCAGGTGTTGTTGGATGTTCTATGACACACCTTTTTTCTTGTTCTTAGCGGTGGCTTTGTCGTCTGAGTAGCGGATGCAGTAACCACACCATGAAGTTCTGGTGTCGAAATTGTCCTGGTGATAACTCGCGACAAGTACAACGCACGTCTGCTGTCTTGGCCTCTAACGAGCAAATGGCACCACTGGGACGAGCATCTGGATCAGTTCAGATGGAGCTTGGGGAGCTCATTCCTGGGTGCTCGAGGTGTTGTTGACGCCAGCGTTGGCATGGCAATGCCAATGGTGTCGCTCGAATACCTGGTATTCCTTTGCGGCCCCTGCCATGGCAATGCACCTTCCGTTCTCTGAAGTACACTCCTGGAGCTACTGCTGTTCCTCCTGGCATGCCGGGCATCCCAGGGCCTCATTTCCAGCAGAGCTGCAAGACCACGAACACGAGCAGAACTTAAGATCGATGAGAGTGAAATATTAGGAGCCTTATGAAGGAGGGGCTTTATAATCATGACCATCATCCATTTCTTGAGGGAGAGAATCAGAGGCCAACTCCGCTGCTGTTGAAGAATCCCTTCTTGAAGAATACAATGCGATACACCATACGTAAATCAGTGGAGGTTCGGCCCTTCCAACTTTTATTCGTTTTTCTGAGAGATTTATTATCAAATGTCAGGATGGCCGAGTGGTCTAAGGCGGCAGACTCAAGTTCTGCTCCTCTCACGAGGGCGTGGGTTCAAATCCCACTTCTGACATTTTCATTATTTTAGGTTATAAAGACGAAAAGGCCCTAATCTGAGGTGGCAACCAATGGGTGGCACACACAACTGGCCCAGGAGGGAAGAGGGTTTGCTGTAATGCATGAGTCTAGGGTGATTCTATTGTAGCAGCAATGCTTTGGCCTTCAATCAGCTGTTGGCGCCATAAGCAGGGGTGAGAGTGTTTGGTGTACTCTCGGGGATCTGGAGTTCCAAATTTCTGGAACTTCAGGGAGAGTTTAGTAGCTTTGGTTGGATGTGAAGCAGATTTGAGTCACTGTTTGCCAGTTGAGAAAGAATCCAACAGGCAGGTTAGTGCTACTACTGCCAATGGAGTAAAAGTCAGTATATGTGAGAGCTTATCTATAGGAGGTTACCCCCTTTATTTGCTCAACTCTAGAAATTAAGGCTCTTACTTATAATACTAAAACTCTACCTCCAGCAGCCGTCCAATTTGAGCCCTCGGCTTTCATGCCAATGGGATGATGGCACATCTTTGACGGAGCAATGTGACAAGTGTCTACTCTAGGGTTCCGTCGCATGCTCAGGGCAGAGATCTTGCACGTCGGCACTGATGGATTACACTAGGCAGATGAATCAAATTTGTGATGTAAGATCTCCCTGATCTTGACACGATGAAAGCGGATTTGTAGATTTGCAGATTTGCTGTCTGCGAGGCGGTGGAGAGAAGCTACGGAGATGCGGGTGAGGGTTCCAAGCATGGTTCAATGATTTTGAGCTTCTAATTTGTCCCTAAGTGTCCCATCAGTACACTGGGGAACTCACCTGTGTCTATGTCTCCCGCTAAGTTACGGGTGGAGAAGCTATGCTTAAGAAAATATCCTCCAGTAAGAAATTCTTCTTGTTTCTTTCTGTAACCACAATTCTTTTCAAGGACCAATGGCATATATACTAACAAAATGGTTTTGGGCTCTGTTAGAGAATTGGAGCTGTGTGATTTTTGACACTTTAACTAGAGTTTCCAAGGTAACTTCAGCTTTAGAAGCAGGTGAATTGAAGGTATATTAGACTTTTCTTTTGCAAATGTTTCGTTAATTACAGTGCTGGATATAAGTGTGAGGGTTAGAACCAGTTACGAAAGGAAAATTGCTACACACACACATTTATAGTGAAACCTTTCATATCAAGCTGTGGAGAGAAGGCAATTTGAGAGAGAACCAAATTAGTCTCAAGAAAAATTTGCTCCAAGCCCAAAATTCAATGTTCTCAAGATTTTGAGTTCTTTATACTTTTCCATTATGGGATGAAGATTTGTTTTAAAATTCAAGGGTTGGAATCTATATACTCCAGCAGCCGTCCGATCTGAGGCCTGGGTTGTGCTTTGGCACTCACTACATCTAGGGAGAGCTCAATAGCTTTGGTTGGATGTGAAGCAGATTTGAGTCACTGAAGGTGAAAGTTTGCCAATTGAGAAAGAATCCAACAGACAAGCCTCTGCTCCTTTAGCTCCAATGTTCACCTTTTGATGATCTATTTTGATCAGCGTTGAAAACCTGTGTAGATGATTCCGATGAGGTGGTGAAACCATGGTTATCCACATTAAGGTGCTACTACTACCACTAAAGTAAAAGCCTGTGCGAGCTTTTGTGTGAGTTTGTGCTCTGAAGCTTTATCTATGGGAGGTTGCCCCCTTTGTTTGCTCAGTCTATTTGCTCCTCTTTTCTCTTGGCTCTCTAGAAATTATGGCTCCTACTTGAAAGCTTGTGCTTGCATTGCTCCTCTCATGCCAGCTTGTGCAACTGGAAACAGTTTTCTTTAGTTTCTTTCTCCAAAATTTTGATCGTTTATGGATTTGGGGATGTGGCAATCTGTCAGCAAACCACAATGCTTAATAGTTGGCCTTCAATGACACGAACAGCAGTAGCTGGTGCAGGTGTAATGAGTGGGGGCAAGAGTGTTCGCTGTAAGCTCCTAACAACAAGTTCCAAGCCACATATATTCTAAAATATGTTGGCTCCTTATTGCATTCCACCTGCAAACCATAGCATATAATCGATCACCAATCACCATTCACTGCTGGCGTATTCTTGGGCGCCACATAAGTGAAGGCATCCGCTGTAAGCTTATTTATATAAGCTTATTCTCTCAAATTGACAGGTTTCTGTGGTTTGGTAAGCAACTCCTTGAGCAAAGGCCATAGCACAAGACTGGGTGTTGAGGAGATCAGTTAGTGAATTTTTATTTTTTTATCTTTGCGTGTTCTTTGTACCTAGAGTAAATGAAGAATAGCATTCAACAATGGTTTGTGTGCTCGGATGTACTTATAAATTAAGTGGATCTTAATTCATCTCCTGGCCACAAGTGATCTTGACCCTGGATCACAGCAATCAAGGTTGCTTTTTCAGGATTTTCCAGGGAAATTGTGCCATGCAGCAAGTGATCTTAATTCCATTTTGCATGGATTGGATTTTTCTTTTTCAAGATCCAGCTGTAGGTGGGTCCATGTGTCCCGTGCTGCCCCATGGTGCACACGCATAAGCAACATGAGCGCTTAGGCTATTGGCACATCTTGGCTCTGCTACAACGCTGCTCAAGGTCTGAAGGTGAGAGTGCTCGGCATTGCTGGAGTGTTTTCTTGATTCCTATTTTCAAGAGGGGACTATTCTTGTTTTAAATCTTAGGCTAATGAAATGTGGCAGCTGATGTCATCATTCAAATATGGTTCTATAGGCACAGTTTGATGGAATTCAGACTCTTTCGGAGACATAAGGGTTTACAGGGAAGAAGATGGAATTCTCTTTGTAATAGGTTGTTAAATAAGTCCTTTAACAAGCCAAGCGGCATGGCTTTCATGTAATGGCAGAATTCTGACTTGGGTGACAGTGAGGCCTCCAGGTAATTGTATAAATCAATATTTGTAAACTTTGAATACATTGATTTCCACTGTTCCAACCTAATCTCGCAGCTAGTTAAGTA